GTGTTTGTCTCCCAGGGGGCCATTGTCAATTAGGAAATCAAAGAAGGCATCCAACTGATCAGTCTTGATGACTGGAGCAAGCTCCTTGAATGCAGTCGCGATGCCATGTCTGCCCTCCCAAGGGTCAGACAAATCCATCTTCTTGGGCATTCCGAACTCGTCGAGTTGCTGAACTCGAGGCTTCGCAAGTTCCTTGTAGGTGGATTCCAATTGTGCGATCACAGCCTCCAAGGACTCGTTGTGCAGACCAGCGGCTTCAGAGGTGGCTCGGGCAGCAGCACGACGTAGCTGAGCATCCTTGCTTTCAACGAAGGGCAACATCTTTAGTGGGACCTCAGCTGTGACCTCGAAACCGCTCTCTTCCCAGATCTCACGGCCCAAATCTTGGTTTTCATCCTCATCGTCGTGGCAGGCGAGCCAAATCTCGTCAGAGTACCCAAGCTCGCTCATATCAACTTCGGCACTGATGGATTGCAAGACGGTCGATCGGACGTTAGTTTCGGGCACCAATGCGCCCTTGGCTAGGACGATCATCTCCTCGCGGTTCATGTTCGGTGCGATGCATCGACACATGTCAGCAAAGCAGTCCTTGATGAGCTTGTAATGTTGCGTGTATGCCTGCATGGAGCTGATGAGAACTAACAGGAGCTCAGCTCGGGGGACGGCTTCATCAACACAAATGTCTGTGTGGAATGACAGGAATTCAATGGCCAAAACAAGCTGGGCATCTGCATCATCGGTTGTGCTGCCAACTCCTCCTTTTCGCAGGACATCCAAGACCAGCGGCAAGGCATAGATGAGGGACACGGAGTCGAATGGTCGTTGCTCACCGGCAAATCGCAAACGATACAGCACTCTTGTAATCAAGTCCTCGAGGGGTTCTTCCTGGTAGTTTTCTTCCAGTGACACATCTCGAAGTCTCAAGGCTGCCACTCCGATAAAGGGTCTCATCGAACCAAGCCGCTCAGAGACCTTCTCAGAGCAAGTGATGTATGCCAGGGGGGCTACATCACCAGTGATCAGGTTGGCACCTGCATCCATGACACCAATGAGCAGTGAAACCGCAGTACCGAGCCACTGGGTCGCATCCGTCGGAGGGCCGGTTGCTAGGCTCTTGATGATGCCAATACCACGCAAAAGCCGTGCCTCGACTTCACGGAGCGATTGTCGGATTTGGCTCTCCTTCTTGAGCTGTGCATTGACCTTGGCAGTTTCATCAGCAGTGAGCTTCTTCTGCTGACCCTTCTTCTTGTCAAGTTGGCTTCGCAGTTCCTCTTCCCATTTGAGGATATCGTAGTCCTTGTTGTTCTTGTTCACAACTTGCTGGGCTTTCTTAGCAAGCACGTCGACAAAGCAGGTGCCCTCGGGTGTTCTGAAGATAGCCGCTTCGACAGGGCCGACATCATGGAGCTGTTCGACAGCAAGATCTCGACTGATGACCTCCAACAGACGTGGAATGATCGTGTCAGGTGCAACGAAGGCCAGGTCGGCTGCCGCGTTATATGCAGCTTTCTTGACAACGTCCGACTATAGGTTTTGGTTAGACTTTCAACAGCAAGTTAGGGATGGTGTAATCAAACCTTTTGGTCAAAAGAGGTCTTGTTGTCAATTTCCTCCAAGAGCTTATTCTGGTACTTTCGAACAAGTTCTCCGGGGTCCAGTTCCATGCGGAGACACAGGTCAATCCAGCTCGCTCTTGGGATCAACTCTGAGCGTGCTAGCACCAGAAGACTGTTTGCCTGAGACTCAAGGTCTTCTGTGGCAATGCTCTGGCCAGACTTTTCCAAGTCCTTCGGGGTCAAGCAGATGGCCTTCACAACATGGACCAAGTTGTGAGGATCGATCGAATGATCCTTGTCACGAGACCCAAAATGCTCCAGATGATCCCAAAGGCCATTGATGATAAGCGTCGAGACACGCTTCGGGTTTCGAATGTAGAGACCGGAAAGGGCCTTGGAGGTCTCTTGTTGGATCGACGGAGGAACATTGTGGGCGGCGATTTGATGAATGATGGCCTCTGACCATGCAAGCGCGACTTGGCTGTCGACACCCTGCTCCAGGCTCTCAAAGGCCGAGGTCAAAGCACGCGCAAACCATCTAAGGTCCTCTTCGGCCGTGACTTTGGAGTAGATTCGATGATTGAGCAGGAATGAAGGCTTGGGGTCCACAGAGAGAGAGTGCTTAACCACGGAAGCTTTAACCAAAGCCGAGTCGGCAGGCGAATCAGGGAACAAGCGCCGGACATGAGGAGTCACGGCTGTTAGAATGTAAGCACCGACAATGAGGCCATTCTGCGCAGCCGTAGCTGCATTTGTAGTGACCTCATTGAAGGTTGTGATTATCTTTGGTATCACAGCCTCAACGAAGGCGGACATTCCAGGAGATGCGGTTTGAGCCTCAGCGAGTGTCTGCAAGATATAACCCACACGGAGAAGCCAGCACTTTCGAGAAGGAGCCTTCTTGTCCGCCAGGCCTTTGGCAATGGGGTCCAGAACAGCCTTGGGTATCTCGCCCTCGTTGTCGAGAATGAAAGCCACGGCCCTTGCCAGAGCCAAGGTCTCTGCTGCCAATGCACCGTCATTTCCTTCTTTGCCGGCAACAACGGACACAGCATTGACAATTTTATCGGCGCTTGACTTTGAAAGCGGGACAAACTCAAGCATTTGCGCATGCATTATGCGTTGGTCCGGGGATGCGAGCTTCCCCGACTTCAGGGGGGTCGCAATCTCATTGGTGATCTTCTCTAAAGATGCGTCGTCATTGCACCTATTCACGAGGGTCCGGAAAGCATCCAAAGCACCAGCGCGAATCGCTGCATTGGTTGACTTGACGTTCGATAAGATGGGCTTCAGCAGTTTTTGCTCAAGCACCTTGGAGAGGTCAAAGCTCTCGGGGAGACTGCGAACGAGCGGTGTAAGAACCCCGCCAAGGATGACTTCGGGAGCTCGCAGGAGGCCTTTCTCGAGGGCCGGGATAAGTTCTTTTGAAACCTCGTCGAGTGTTGCAAAGGAAGTGAAGAAGTCGGCAAATCCTGGAATCAAGTGCTCCGAAATAGCAGTCCGAGAGCCAATGAGCTCCCTGGAGAAGAACTCATAATATTTGGGCTTGAGAGAATCAAGAACAGGGCGAAGGTGTTCCTTCCGAGCAGAGACCCCAGCAATAATACCTAGCAAGATAGCATTCCTTGGGGTAGACTGAGCTCCCTTCGTAGCAAGAACATTGACAGCATCGGATAGCCGTTTCTCACTGGAATCAGGGTTAGACAGAAGCTTCCTCAAGCCTCTTCTTGTGACGATGACGGCAGAGTGAACAACGGATTTCCTGGAAACCAGCTGGTGACACTTGTCCAAGGCATCGGCGTCGGTCAGGAGGATATCTGTAGAGAATTGGTCCCACAGTGAGGCATCGAGGTGTTGCATGAACAGACTGCACCATTCTACCAAGACGAACGCGCTTGTAGGAGCAATGCCATGCTTCTGGCTTTCCTTGCGGATGGCGGCGATGAGTGGGGAGATTGTCTTGGAGTCAACACCGGCCGAAACCAGGGCAACAAGGCATCGCTGAACAGAAAGACGAGACTCTCTATCGGCATAGTAGGCGTATGTTCCAAAGAACAGCTGGAGAAGACGGGAAATCGAGGAGGGGTCGAGGGCTACAGAAGAAGGGTTAGTTGGCTGATCGGAGCTCGTCACACGACAGGACCAGGCTTGCGCACATTTCTGAGTGAGCTTCTCTTCGATTGTGCGCAGTTGAGCTATTCGGATCGCGGTCGAGGACGAAGCCAGAGCCTTCTTGACGGCGGCAATGTCCAGGTCGGGCGAGGCGCCAGAATCGGAGGAGTCAACTTTAGACATGCTGGAGATCGGAGACGGAAGTGGGCGTCTGCAGTGATGAACTCATCTGGGGCTACCAGAGCTCGCAAACGCCGGACTTGAGGCGTAGGTCCTCGATCGAGGGAGGAGGAAGGGGGGGGTCGTGGAAATTCGGCGATGGTATTATTGGTGGTGGTTTTGGAATTTTCGGGCACCAAATTGGTCGGAGTGAAGATGGAAATATCGAGATGGACTGACCCCACGTTGACCAGAGTGTCCAGCAGCGCAGCGCAGCTCACTCACATCCGTACCTTACCTAACAGGGCTCGCCGGGAGGATAGAGCTCGAGGGTTGCTTGGTTGTAGTGGGGTTTGGAGCCCTGAGGATGCCCGTGTCTGACGAGGCAGGCCCGGGCCAGTCGCTGTCAGCTCCCCGCCATTCAATAGGTACATCAGAGAGGGCACAGGGGTGAGCTCATCCTCGCTCAAGGGTAGCTTCAAGGATGTAATAACAATGATAATAATACTGGAGATAAAAGAGCTCTAGAGATTTATTCTGCTAAGAAAGATTTCATCTTTGGTTTTTGTATATAAATCACTATGTCACAACAGCAGTATTCGAGGGCTGTCTGCTCTGCTGTCCCATTTGTCGTCTGATGTATTCCTTGAGCCGTGTGGCGGCAGAGTCAATGGCATGGGCCGGGCTACCGTAAACTCGAACCCACTCAACTCCCGTCTCTAACCCGACCAGTTTACTCACACACTGACACAAGAAACGGTCTTGCTGCAGCTGTGCATTGGACTCTGGAAATCAAACCGATCGGCACCGTTTGCCAAAACCTTGAGCTCATACTGTTGTCCTAATATCCTTCCCTTCTACAACTTGTTTTAAGAGCTTGAGCAGCGCCTGAGCAGCACCTCGAGGTCCACCGATCAAAAGCCCTTGCGTCACATCCTCTCCACCAACCGACCTTACTCTCGCACTCTTTCTTCAGCCTGATCTAAACTTGAAACCCCAGATCTTTGATCCTGCACGCCGCAAGGCAAAATACCCCTTTGACACTTATCGTCCCTACATTTCCCCTGCAGCCTGCCATAAGATATTCGCGCCAGAGCATCCGTCACAATTTTCCCTTGACTGGGACCTCTCACTCGCCACTCTTCCTCTTCTCCTTGGGCACCGCCCATCATGGCTGGCGCAAAGAAGAAGAAGAAGCCCGCCGCTAACCCTGCCCGTGGCTTCGCGACCACCTCCATCGCTTCCAAGCCCAGGCCTGAACTCTCCGAGTCTGATTCGAAGCCTGCGAGCGCTGCTGCCAAGGGCCCAGGTGCCCCTCCATCGACGCAGAAAGATGCCCCACCATCGTCGACTGCGACTCCTGGTGACGCGACTGCCAGTGCTGCTACTCAGGAAAAGCCGCTGAGCCCTGAAGAGTTTGAGAGGCAATTGGAGGAATCCGAGCTTCAGCTTCTTGTTGAAAAACATGCTAGCAAAACAAAGAGGGATGCTCAGCGCCAGAGAACTCGACTGGATACGGACCGTCGGCTTCTCCGTGGCCAAGCGGACTCGGTGAATAGCTTCAAGTGGTTGCCCCAGGAGCTGATGGATCACATCCTCGACATGATCCAAGCTGAGAGTCGCTTTTCATCCTCCAGCTTAACCTCGTCCGAGAATGGCGGTGCTGGAAAGATGCCTCCCGAGGAAGACATGATCACTCGACTCTGGACTTTGCAGCAAACGCTCTCCGCCGCCGAATTTCCCACTGAGCGTGTTGCGGCCGTGATACGTTACATACTGGACATCTCGCCAAATGTATCACCCACAAACAGAGACTCGATCTGGGGCCTTGAGGAAGCTCTCGATTGGCTGGCTCGGGAATGCCCCCTTGACGAGTTGCCCTCGTACGAGCCCAAGTCGAAGCCCATCCCTAGAAGTACTACTGGTTTGTTTCTCGACCCCTGAACCACCTGCCATGCTCTGACTGAATCTGGCATAGAAACTCCTCAGGAAAGCCCAGTTCCTACTCGATCAAGCACTCCTCGCCACTTTGAGTCAAAGAACGGCCGCAAGGGTAAAACTGCCGGCATCGGCCGACCGGCTAAGACCGCAGCCAAGAAATTGGTTGTCACTTGCGATAGTGATATCGAACCTGACGAGCTTGTTCCAAAGTATCTGGAGACTAAAGCCAAGCTTCTGGAGTTCGAGCGTGGCTACCATCGGTTGGACAAATCGCAGGCTGCTGATGTTGACGAAGAGCTTGCTGTCGCAAAGCTTGAAGCAAAACTCAGAAAGATTGAATCTGATGTGTTGTTTGACAAGTACGAAGCCGAGCAACTATGGAAAGCTCAGAAAATCAACTTGGAGAAACAGCTTGCAGCCGCAAAGAAGGAGGCCGAGGCACAGGCAGAAACACAGATGGAAGCTGCTTTAACGCCGGATGAAACAGCGCCGGAAAAGACGGATGAGGACGAAATCAACGACGAAGCGAATCGGATCGCTGCTGAGATTCTGGCTGAGGCGAACGAAGACGACGACGACGACATAGGGGGACTATTTGCCTCCTTACCCCAGAACGAAGTCGACGCCAGCACTGGAGAGAGCCGCACTGTTGTAAATTCAGCCGACGGATCCAAGGTCGTGATCCGGGACTTTGGAAAGTGGACAGGAGTCAGTCCCAGGAGGGCTTTGGAGGAGGCCTGTCGCTCAAGGTAAAACCTAACGGCCTTTTGTTTCAGAGGCGAATATTCTTGCTAACTATGAAATGCAGAGATGCGACGGCGAGAGTCTCGTACATCGTTGTATCGGATGTATCTTTTGCGAACCGTTACTCGTTGGATATTTTCTGGACGAAAGCACAAGAACTGCCGTTCCCGGCTACCTCGTCCGATGTTGAGATTATTGCTGATCCCTTCCACTTCACCTTCACCATGACCGGCATTGCTACACCGGACTCGAAGCAGTCTGAGGCTTACATCTCCACGGCAGCTCTGTTCTATACTTTCAGTGGGAATCCCAAAGAAGAGAAAGTCGGCCTTAGGCTCCCACATGTGTGGAAGGATTTCTGGACCGAGCTTGCTGAAGCCAGGAAAGCTCAAATCGATGAGCAAGACAGAGTCGTGGTTAAAGACTTAAGAGCATTAGTTCGCCAACGACACGATCAAGAGCTTGAAGACGGCGTCATAATCCAAGGAGCATTCAGGGGCAGGGGTAGCAAAACCCTGAACGACTCTGGTGACGATGCTGGCCAGGATCGTTCAAGACAGAACGCTACTAACGCAGAGTACTACCAAAGAATCTGGGCAGACAAGTCCAGTACCCGCAAATTCCAAATGATGCTGGTGAGAAAGGCTACGAGCTTCTAATTCTAGCAGAAACTGACGAGTGAATAGCAATCCCGAATGCAGCTTCCCATGTGGCACTTCAGACAGCAAGTGCTGGACGCTGTCGATGGACACCAGGTCGTGATTGTTTGTGGCGAGACCGGCTGGTATGATACCCTTCCCTCATAACCCCGAACCGGCATGAACTAACCATCATATAGCGGCAAGAGTACTCAGGTCCCATCATTCTTGTTGGAGCATCAGCTGTCGCAGGGAAAGCCCTGTAAGGTGTACTGCACAGAGCCTCGACGTATTTCTGCAATCTCTCTTGCTCGCCGAGTGAGCGAAGAGCTTGGTGAAAACAGAAATGACCTTGGCACCAACCGGTCTCTGGTTGGCTACTCGATTCGGCTGGAGGCCAAAGCCTCGAAAGAAACGAGACTGGTGTATGCGACCACTGGTATCGTGATGCGAATGCTCGAAGGCTCAAATGACCTCCAAGAGGTAACGCATCTGGTGCTCGATGAAGTTCACGAACGATCGATTGACAGCGACTTCCTCTTGATTGTTTTGAAAAAGCTTCTCAAGCGCCGGAAGGACTTGAAGGTTGTCCTGATGTCAGCTACGGTTGATGCTGAGCGTTTCTCGGCGTATCTAGACGGAGCGCCTGTTCTCAACGTTCCTGGACGAACCTTTCCAGTCCAGGTCCGCTATCTCGAAGATGCTGTCGAACTTACTGGATATACGCCAGCAGACTCTCAGCCGGACAAGATGGTCGATATCGACGACGACCTGGCTGAGAGCGAAGGGGAAAACCCAAAGAGCGATGTCTCGAAGAGCTTGACAGGATATTCGTCGAGGACACGATCGAGCCTGGCCCAACTTGACGAGTATCGCATCGAGTTTGACTTGATTGTTCAGTTAATAGCCCACATTGCAGTCGACGATGATCTCCAAAACTATAGCAAGGCTATCTTGGTATTCTTGCCAGGTATTGCAGAGATCCGTACTCTCAATGATATGCTTCTTGGAGATCCAAGGTTCGCCAAAGAGTGGCTTGTCTATCCCCTCCACTCCAGCATTGCTACAGAGGATCAAGAATCGGCATTCTTGATCCCACCTCCCGGCATACGCAAGATTGTTCTTGCTACCAACATCGCAGAGACAGGTATCACCATTCCCGATGTCACCTGTGTGATAGACACTGGCAAACATCGTGAGATGCGATTCGATGAGAGACGACAACTGTCACGCCTTATCGATACATTCATCTCGCGCGCAAATGCCAAGCAAAGGCGTGGACGAGCCGGCCGAGTGCAAGAGGGACTTTGCTTCCACATGTTTACCAAGTATCGCCATGACAACTTGATGAGCGATCAGCAGACCCCTGAAATGCTCCGACTCTCCTTGCAAGATCTTGCGATCCGAGTCAAGATCTGCAAGATAGGAGGAATTGAGGAGACCCTAGGTGATGCCTTGGATCCCCCATCTGCTAAAAACATACGTCGCGCCATTGACGCTCTCGTCGACGTTCGTGCTTTGACGCAAGCCGAAGAGCTGACACCGCTTGGACATCAACTAGCTAGACTGCCTTTGGATGTTTTCTTGGGAAAACTAATTCTACTTGGAGTCATCTTCAAGTGTCTGGATATGGCCATCACCGTTGCTGCTATACTATCCTCCAAGTCACCCTTCTCGGCACCGTTTGGCCAGAGAGCGCAAGCAGACAACGCGCGCATGCTTTTCAGAAGAGGAGATTCGGATCTTCTCACCATTTACAACGCATATCTAGCGTGGAAGCGAGTGTGCCAGTCTACTGGTGGCGGTGGAAAGGAGTTTCAATTCTGTCGAAAGAACTTTTTGAGCCAGCAGACTCTGGCCAATATAGAGGATCTCAAAGGACAGCTTCTTACATCTCTTGCAGACTCTGGGTTCCTATCCCTCACGGAAGAAGAGAGGCGAACGCTTTCACGGGCTAGATTTTCTGGTGGCCGTGGACGGCGACACCAACACTTTTTCGAGATCCCACGCAGAGTCAACCTCAACAGTGACAATGACGTGGTTTCAGCTTCTGTTATTGCATGGAGCTTCTACCCCAAGATTCTCGTGAGAGAAGCACCGGGGTCCAAGGGGTTGAGAAACATTGGTACGAACCAATCCATCAGCCTCCACCCATCGTCTGTCAACCGAGGTCGCCTTGATCTCAGATGGTTGTCCTACTATCACATTATGCAGTCCAAGACGTAAGCCTTCAACTATGCATCTACTTGATTGACGAGCTAACATTGAATTACAGGGTGTATCACGCCCACGAGGCTACGGCCGTGGAACCCTTCGCAATCGCCCTCTTGTGCGGCGATGTACGATGCGATGTAAGACCCCATATTTCAGCTGATGCCTTTGATCTAGTACTAATGCCTCTGCTAGATGTATTCTGGAGTAATTGTCTTGGACGGAAATCGAGGTCGCTTCGTTGTCCCAGACTGGAAGACGATGCTCGTTATCAAAGTTCTCCGAACTCGCCTGCGCGAGGTTCTGACCAGGTCTTTCAAGCAGCCGGGCAAGCTGCCCACTGCCCAGCAGGAGAAGTGGCTCGACGTTTGGCAGAGAATCTTCACGCAGGATTTCGGGCAGGATAGATCGGTTGCAACTGGGTTGGCAGTCAAGGCGTGAGTTTGAGTGGCTAGGTAGGCATTTTGATGGATTTGACCACTTTGTTTGTTGCATTCACGGGGTCTCAGACATAGAGGATATAACTGGTTTTCAAGGGAAAAGGAAAGGCAAGTCATGTTAAAATAGATACAATGCATTAGACGTTTTTGAAGGTATAATACTAGATAAAAGCGGTGCGCATATCGACCAATCTACCTGGTATAGCCTGAAATGGGCTTCATGTCTGGGCTTGCAGATGGATGGCGACGAAGCAATAACGCAACGATGTGATTAGAAGGCCTTCTCTTGGCCCTAGAGCTAGGTTGAGCACCAGTACTCGCATTCAACAGCTGTACAGTGTACAGTCTTCCCCCATTCCTCTGTCTTCCCCAAATCTCCTGGATATCTCATCTCATCGTAGTACGATACAATATGCTACATGATGTGGTGTCGAAAACAGTCTCCACCGTACTGCTCAGGACTTTGTCTCGGTTTCCTTCTTCTCCGTCTCCTTTTCTTCCTTGCTGCTCGCCAGGAACATGGCCTTGAAATCCGCATTGCTCTTCTTGGCACCCGCCACAGATTCCCCGTTGGTCTCCGCCCCGTTCTGGGCGGCCTTGGGGGCCGAGGGCTTGAAGCCGAGGCCACGGCGTGGGCCAGGCTTGCCTAGCACAGGTCGCCGCAAGGTAGTTGGCGGCGGCATGAAACCGGTAGATGTGGCGGCCTTGGGCTTTTGATCCTTGTTACCACTTCCATACACAATGCGGTCTTGAACGTGCTCTGCCTTGGCTTGCCGGAGCTCCTCCACGGTACCAGTTCGAAGTGGACGACCCTCAAACTCCATGCTATTGAGTTGAAGACTTGCCTTGCCAGCGGTGGCAACATCAGCAAACTCGATCTTGGCACCTCCGTTGGCGGGAAGAACGATCAGCTTGACAATAGCCCCTAGGGGTTCGACAAGAGCTCGAATCCTCGCATCGTTGACGGTATCAGGGAGACCCATCAGAGCAATCGTCCGGGCCGAGATGTCCGCAGCAGTTGGCTTCGCTTGAGCATCGCTTCCTGCGTCTTCCATGGCATCGTCTCCCTCCGCATCGCGGGATGAAGGCGCTGGAGAGCTTCTGGCGTTTTCAGCAACGATGGTCACGGCTGCTGGCTTCACCTTTGACTCCTTGGAAAGTGAAACCTCAAGAATCTGGCTTCGGAACTTGGTATTGTCCATCTCCGCCACGGCCTTCTCTGCCTCCTCTTTTGTCTCAAAGTCGATAAAGGCAAATCCCTTGTTTTTACCTGATAGGGTCTGCGGAACCTTGACTCTCGTGACTTTGCCGTACTTGGAAAAGACACCCTTGAGGTCTGCTTCGCTGGCTGTTCTGTCCAGATTGCTAATGTGGACTTCTCGGCCTTCTGAGAGAGCGCCTTCGCGAGCCTTCTTGTGGTTGGGGTCAGAATACTTGGCAAGAAGCTTGTAACGGCCCTCGAGCACCTTGCCCTCCTTGTTGACGGCGTTTGCAGATGCCTCTCGATCCCGGAATGAGATGTAACAGAACCGACGATGGGAGTTGACCTTGAGGCTTGGCCATCGAACACTCAGTATTTCTCCACAGTCCTTGAATAGGTTGCGGATGTACGCCTCATCGGCAACAGGAGGAAAGTTGGCAACGTAAACAGTCAGATCGAGCCCAGACTTAACAGTGAGTTGTGACTGGCCAAAGTATTTTCCATCTCGAAGCAATGCAGATTGTGCCTCCTCGGGCGAGCTGAACTCGATGAGGGCTGTGGAGGAGTTGGCCTTCTCATCGCGCACAAAAGCGGTAATGTTGTTGATGTGTCCATATTCCTTGAAGTACTGACGAACCTTGGTTTGGGTGACGTCGCCGGGGAGGTTGGTTACGAGGATAGTCGAATTCTCCCTGTCTCTCTTGGGCGCCTGTGATTGCTGTGTAGTCGCACCCTGTTCAGGCTGCGCTTTGTCGGCATCGCTCTTTTGTCTTTTACTGGCAATCTCAGGCTCCTCTGTGGCATCCGCATCGGCCTCCCGCTTTCGCTTAGAACCGCCTGGTGATTTAGCCTCCTGATTCTCCTCTTCTGCCGCCGGGGCGCTGTAGTATGCAGCGTAGGCAGCTGTCTTCTCCTGCTCCTCGCGTTCACGACGCCTCTTCACATCCTTTCCAGTCTTGTGCACCCGATCGGCTGCTTTCCGCAAAGTAAGGGGTTGTTCATAGTCGTTACAATGCTGCATGTAAACCTCCAAGACCTTTTCAGGCCAGTCAATCTCCCTACGAGCAACAGCCCGAGCCAGAACCGCAGTTGCCAGAGTGGGTATTCGGAAGCTGGCACCGGCGGAGGAGGGGGTGGGACTCCGATTGTCCTGAGCACCAGAGGAAGAAAAGATCAGCATCTCCCACATATAATACCTGAACCAAAAGTCGTGATTGTCGGCGTGAATCTGCATGGATGCAAGTTTGTTCCACTGAGCTCTGGCCTCGTCCACAGCACCCTTTTTCTCTGTGAGATACTGGATATAGATGCGTTCGAGTCGAAACTTGGGATCGCCTTGAAAATCCTTGCCGTAGAGTCGCTGTCCAACAACCGAAACATCCTCGAGAGCAGCGCCGAGACCGACATCGGCAACGTCAACGGACTCGTCCGTAGCGGTGGCATCCATCGCAGTCCGCTTCAGAAAGCCGCACCAAGCCACATACATCTCAATCATGCCCTCCATGCCATCCTTGAGTAGCTGATCCTCGCTCGTAGCGGCGTGCTTGATGGACTCAACCTCACCAAATGGTAGTCTTGCCTCCTCGGCACACAGAATGTAGCGGTTCCAAAGAAGACCCGACCAGGGGCAATGCTGAACAGCCCTGCGGAGGACATCGAGGAGGTTTCCAGGGGATTGAAGATCAGAGTTTGAAGACGAAAGGAACACGATGTACTCGTGCCAAGTACTCTGATCTGTGGCAAGAACACTGGTCAGCGCACGGGCGTAGAGTCCACGGCATAGGTCAATGCCAATTTCGGGGTTGTCGTTGCTGCGCCTGCTTTCAATCATTTCCCATTCGAGATAAGTTGTCAATGCCTCCTTCTGAGCATCTACATCACCGGCATCCACCGCGCGCTTCAGCTTGCTCTCGAAAGGATCGCGTGAAGTGATCAAGCGCTTCGTCTCTTGGGCATTGGTTGTAATGTCCTTCATGGAATCCTCCCAAGCGGAACGGTTGTACTCGGACAAAAAGGTCGAGAAATTCTGAGAGGTCTCGTCCCATTTGAGGTGCGGGGTGAGCAGACGGTCGCGATATAGGTGGGTGATGCGCTTGATGCCTTCGGGGGTTCTCGTCTTAGCAAGAAGCTCCATCTCGAGAGATATCCAGCGGTCCCAGAGTAGGTGGCTGTCGCCGAGCCGGTATCGGATAGCCTCATATCCTTGCTGCCACAGATCAAGAGCAGCTCCGAAGGAAAAGAGCTCGCGACCGAGAAGGCGCTCCTCGTCGGACCAGCCGGCGCCTGAGGGGGCCTGAGTCTCCTCCCATAGCGACCAGAAATAGTTGCAGTAGGCTAGCCAGATGCGCAGGCTGCCAGGCTCAGCGCCGACGGCGCGTTTGTACAGTTCGACGACATTGACTCGCTGCTCGAGGTCGGAGGCATTGCGAACTATCTCTTCGAGGTAGGCGAGCCAGTTATCTTCGCCTATCGGGTTGGCCATCATGTTTGTCGCGAGCGCAAGGCTTGGGGGGCAGAGCGCATCACACGATGCTCAAGGCCTCTGATTGCGTATCGACGGTGCCTCAATAGCAACACATGGAATGTCGGCTAGGTAATAGGCGCGCAGACAAGATGAAGTTGGTTTGCGAGCGCGAATCGCGAGGCACGGTAGAGTTGGCAGATAATGCGGTCGAAAACGTGACGTGTCGAGGCTCCGATCTCAGGGTCTGGAGGAAGTCGAAGGTGTAAAAAAAAAAGGTGGGGTATTGAATGAGAGGCTGAAATGAAAGGCTTGGGGGCTCCTTCTCTGACTGTAGCCTACCTACTCCCTTGACTCGATGGGAATGGAAGGTTTGAGGTTGGGAAAGAGGGCATGCACCAAGATTGATCAGCAGGCAACTGCGTGAACCTGAGAGCCAGTGTGTGCGTGCGTGCGCGCGTGGAGGTGGAAAAAAAGTCACTCCCAATAATTCAGCACCTTCCACTGGACTGGGGACAAGGACAGGGATGCTCTTTCCCAGAAAGACGGGAAGCGAGGGTCATATGATGTAATGCCGAGCGACCACTTCAAAAGCCCGATGTCGTGGTACTTTTGCATCAATATTGGTTTGTTTGGAGGTGGTTACAGAGGATTGCTGTAATCTCAGGAGAATGGCATTTTTTGTGACAATTTGTCCATTTCTGCTTCCATGACACCGCCTCCATCTGATAGGTCTTGATACAACACCTAAAGTCTTAGCTCTGACTCTTGTCTGGCCCGAAAACTACAATGTCTCTGCTCATCTCTTAACAGGTCCGACTCCCCGGTGTGTGACGCTGTAGTACCGGTACATCTGCACGAGGGCCCGTTGGCTGGAAGCCGATCTTATCCTAGAAGACGCGGGTCGTCAAAGGGTCTAGACCCCGATTCGACTCAGACTCGCCCCGTCGAGCGTCCTGGACTCCTTTCAGGCTCGCTCCGATTGACTGATTCCTCCGCCGACCCAGTCCACCGTTAATTCCGCGCCGTTATTCCCAGTGCACGGGCGACTCGGGGTCCCGGCCGTGAGAATCTCCGTTGAGAACTAGGAGGAGCACGCAACAAAACACCTGACGGCCTTGTTTCTGGCTCTCCTATCAAGGACTGCTGGTTCTCGAAGAAGCAGCCTTGGGGAATGAGGAACCCCTCCCGATTGGATCCCGCATTATTGCTTAGAATCTAGACCGTACACATCACCAATGCCAAGATGCCTGGGTGGTTGATCCCGCCCATCCCCGTATCAGCTCATGAGGGGCAGCCAACTGTCTGGCAAGTGTAGGCGCTGGACACACAAGCCAGATAGCCAGATAAAAGCAATAACACATGGATGGCTCCTTCACTGATCTTGCCGAGGGGATCGGCCGTCTCAGCTCCAAGATCGGGCCTCAGTCGCCAACCCCCGCAGATACGGGCGGGAGGCTGGAGGGGGCGGAGAGATCTGGGGACGCAAGCTAGGGTCGTCGACAGCCACTCTCACGGCGTCGCATCGCCTTGGACTGCAGGTGGGCGTTTGTGAGGCGTCCAGTGAGAAGCGTTATTGGAAGAGGCGCGCCTACGCTGAGGTCATATCGTCGTCAAAGTGCCGAATAGCAAACGGCTACCCAGGGTCCATGGAAATTCTAGATTCTCTCCCTCTCCCTCCGAGAAATGTGTCGCAGCCTGCCATACAGACGGCGTTGTAAACGAGCAGAATGGCATACGAGCTGTCAACTCTGCCTTTGATCGCACGACCGCTGATAAGAATTGGAGGTCACTACTTGACTCGGGTCACTCTAATCCCGAAGCCCCGATTGGTGGCTACCGTAGCTGTGCAACTCAAAGCAACGACATAGAAGTTTTCTTAGAGTAATTTGGCTCTTGACCTGGACGATCTATTAGACATGTCCTTGGCCAGTTTATCTGAACAGATAGATCTACTTGCCCAATGCTCGTCAAATGATGACAAGAGTTTTGCATAGGTAGCTCGCTCTTTGCAACTTACAAGCTTCGGCTAGGTACCTAGGTACGCCGAGACCCGTAGCCTAGATTTACCAACAACTTGACTTTCCACACCTTATTCGCAATAGCTGACCACAATTGACAACAGACCAATCCTACCTCTTCGCGACAGCCTGTGAAGGGCAAAGAAGGCTTCCATGTGCATCATCACATCGTGATAGGGACCTCGGGCCTGCACCTCGTGTTCGAATTCCCTTGCTGTAACCCAGGCTTCCCGTAAAAGGCGCCCGTTGAATGAAAAGAGAATGACGAAAGCTTGGCAGCTTCGTATCTCTGCAGTCTCGGCTACACTATTCGACCTGGAGGTTCTTTGTTCTAACAAAGCATCTGTGTCGTATGCTTTAGCATCCGGTGATGGGTTGTATGGCGTCGCCCGATGTTCCCCTCAGAATGCCATTGGGAGCACGGACGGGCCGTATTCACGATCGATGAACGGCACGAGGTAGCCCTGTAAAAGCTTTGGATCGTCATCTCCCGTTCGCTGACCGCTTCTAGATGCGATGCGATATACGGATATTCGTCACGCACTTCTATTAAAAAAGAAAGGATTATGGAGCGGTGCGGGCTGACAACTGCTGATGCTGATGCTGATGCTGACCGACGGTGCCAAGGCTCCACGTCGTTTCAAGCCGGAAGCAGTCGCCAAGAGAGCAGATCTCCCAGCAGCAGACGACTTTGAGTTGGCCACTTTTCACGACCACGAATTACTGCATCGTGGAAACAAACATCACCAGGTTGAGGCCCACCAGGCCAGAAGGTTCGTCTAGCCGCGGCCTCACGAGGCCTCTTATTCTCGATCAAGCCGCAAAGGTTGAAGCCGCTCAACGGCCAGGCTGGCGCGAAGGCCAGGGGGGAGGCCAACAGGCGCCGGGAACTGCATCCCATCCCTCCACTATCATGCTATTGTTTCACGCTAAGGCAGGACAGTTCAGCGGCTGGCCTGGGCGCGAATTCTGCAAAGATGAAACGAAGATGCAGAAGGGAATCGTCTTTGCTCAGCCCAGCAGTTCGCACATCTATTCTCTACAGCTTCAACAACGCTCCTCGTCTCACACAAGTCTCGACCTAGGTTTGGCAAGGTCACATCGCCAAAGACTCGTAACGAGCTTCAGCAATAGCCGTGGCGAGCCCGGGCGACAACGGGTGATGGATCCCTGATGCCGATCCGGATCCCTCCACATGCAAGCCATTGTCCCACAGTCGACAGGACCATTCACATGGCGTAGTGGTGGTTTGGACGGCGCAAGGAGGGAAGGCACAAAGAAAAATTAGAACATCTGACCCCTGGCCGCTGCAGACATGACACATGCAGCGCGGCGTCCTGTCTCTCTGAGACATGATTTGGCCTGACCGCCTGCGTCGCCATGGCCGTCCTTTGTCTGGTCTCCCCTGTGAGCTTCTGCGGCTGTATGCGATCCGTCAGACGACGTCCGTCGGAGAGCTGAATGAAGGAGAGTGGGTGGGAGCTGCATTGAGATTTGACGCTCCACCGCGCAGCGACAAAGGAGTGCGAATGCGGCTGTTGCCAAGGGCTGCCTCTCTGCCCGACACAACACGACACGACATGACACCCCCAGCTCTGCCGGGTCTGGACAGGCTGCTGCTGCCACACACTGTCAGTATGCGCCATATTCCAGGTCTCCTCACAGTGCTTCTCCAGACGAGCGTTTGATGAGCGCGGCAGTGCAGAGGACCACTGGCTCCAAGCCAAGGCGATAGATCCTGGGCGGCTACGCTGGGGTTGATATTACCATTCTGGGGCTAGCCAGGGACCGGCATGTCCATCGTAATAATACCAGTCAGACTGGGCCTGCGTGGATTGCATAAATGGCGTCTTGCTGGAGCGTTTCGCCTGTGCAGCACGGCACTCTCTGGTTGCTGCTGGGCTGCTGGTGTTGCTGTCAGAGAGGGCATTGCCCTGGATCCGATCCGTTCGTCTCACATGCGCCGCTAGAGGAGCAAGCATCGTGGTCAATGCAAGAGAGAGCATGAGTGGGTTCAAAGTGAGCTGTTGGAGTTGATGGCACAAGACTAAAGCTTATCGCCATTTACTAGGAGGCATTGTCGTTGCATGCGGCGAAGCACAAAAGAAAGATCTGGGAAACATCCGCTCCCATCCATCGGGAGTCAGATGAAACAAATGAGACCACCTGCTCCGGGAGATGGTGTTGGGCGGTAAACCCGACCTTTTTCGCTAAGTACCTACCTACTGTATTGTCCCTGTGCCTGGCTTAGCGGCCGCCGCCAGGGGAACTGCCCCATTGAACCCCGCCGCTAGCAGCGTCGTGCAGCTCTGAATGGAAGTTTTCTGTCGTGATGGTGGGCCCTGGTTGGCCCCCTTTTCCCTCGTGTCGATGGATGTCAACGGCGCCGGCTGCTTTCGTGACGTCGGGGTCTGTTCTCTGACGGTTGCAGCCAGGCCAGGGCCGTTGTCCATGTCCATGGATGGAGGCCAGGGGAGGGAGCCACAAGGCGCATTCACAAAACGATGCGCCTTTCATGGATGGGGATGGGCTGGGTCTTGTGTGTGCAGTGCAGGCGCTTGAGCGATCAAATGTGCAAATGGAAATGGATGTTTCCCTTCCCCTGGAGTCTATCGATGCATCGCTCATCATCCACATCCATATCCATTCAGCTGGGTCGCCCTTGTCTGGAGGCCCTTCCTTCGTTCATTCTTCAACCCTCTAGCTCCCACACGACGACGACGCTTGCATTCTTGTTTACCTCTGTGTAATTTACCTGCTACATCCGCCTGACCCCCCCGTCCAGTTCTTTGCTTTCCGTTCCGGGGCCTCTAGCTCGTTTTTTCCCCATTCCATTCCTCGGGCACTTCATCTCATCTCTCTTTCTTCTCCCCCCTCCCTTGCCCGTTGTCGTCACTCCGACCCAAGACAAGTTCCCGTTGGAACCCACCTTCTCTTCTTCTTCCGTTCTACAACAATCGAACCGAACCGTCTTTCTTCTGCTTCCGCCCTCGTCTACTCTTTTTTTCACGATCGCGTCTTCTTTCTGGGCTCTTTCACTCCTTCAAGTGTCCCACATCGCTTCCATTCGCCTTTTCTCACCTTTCAGTCACTCATTCCTTTCAACTCTTTCGCCGAACCTATTCTTTCGCAGCTTACCTCGTCTCTCCTTCGCTTTCTTCGACTTCCAGTTCTTTTTGACTTTGTCCTGTGCTTGGCCGATTACACCACTGCAGCCGTATTCCTTCACACCAGCTGCAACCTCAGCTTCGTATTCATCCTCGGCATCCTGCATCTGATCCTCCATTGCTGCATCGGGTGCCACGTTGGACCACGTCCCCTTGTTACACTGTCGAGCTCTCGTTATCCTCTTCTACTTCAAGGACCTTACTTCCGACGCACCTCGGCGAACCTACTGGGATCTGGCTGCGACCTCTACCGCCACTTTCCTCTTCTACTTGGAGTCGATATTACCGCTGGCACCTATCACCACCTTCGTTAACGACATCTCGACTCGGACCTATCCACCACTTCAACGTCCGGCTTTGGTTGAGGTCCTTACGACACTGTTCGCTCGCGACATTCCCAAGTAATGAGATATAGCCCTCATTACATACCGTCGAGATGCGCTTTTCTCTTTCAACCCTAGTGGCGCTGGGCGCCCTTCAGACACTTGGTGTTAACGCTCAGGATTCTACCGCCTGTATTGTGAGTGCTCAAAGCGCCACTGGTTATACACAACCAGCCTCTTGACCTGACCTAATCGCGCATACTAATCATTTGGCGCAGACGGATTGTGTTGGCAGGCTGCAAGCACCAAATGCTGCTTATAACTGCCCAGATAACACGGCCTCATGCATTTGCGCATCCACAGAATTTGCCAAAGGCATGGCTGAGTGCGCCAGACCATGTGGTGTCGCAGACACCGACATTACTGGCAACTTGGCCAGTGGATTCTGTGCGGGTAAGCTCATACTCATCAGCTATTGCCTGGCAACAACTGACATGTCCAAGGCCTACCGGTAGTCCAACTCCCTGCGGCCACTTCAGGTGCTAGCACTGAAGCCTCTTCCGCCCCAGCGACAACATCTGAGGCTGCTGCTTCGACTAGTGAAGCAGCTGCTACCACTGAGGCTGCTTCATCCTCGGCCGCGCCTACTTCATCAGCCGCGCCTGAAGAGACGACCTCTTCTGCCGCCGAGTCTGTCCCTGTTTCGACTTCTGCTGAAGCTGAGTCTACCGTAAGGAGCCGGTTTTCTATGGCAACGGGATCAAACTAATTAATATGGTTGATAGGCTACTGAGGAGGCTACTTCTGCCACGGACTCTGCTTCCGCTACCACTTCCGCCTCCGCCTCGGCTACCGACAAGGCCTCGACAACCGAGGGAGCTGCCGGTGCTGGTGCTACTTCTGATTCTTCCGACGAAGACGACAAGGAAGAAGAGTCATCTGGATCTGGTGGATTGTCCAAGTCTGCGCAAATTGGCATTGGTATTGGAGTTACTGCTGGTGTCCTTGCCCTCCTCGGTATCGCGCTATGCTTCCTCTGGAGACGACGAAGCCAGCGGAACAACCTGCCACGTGGAAACACAGCCATCTCCCACCCAATGCCTGCCGGCGGTTCCAACTACCACTCGGCCGATCAAGGATCCATTGTTGAGAAGGGTGGTTATGATCTTGAGATGATGTCCCACCGGTACGAGGACATGCTTCCTCGACAAAAGCCGCGAACCATGGTGTGAGAATAGGAGGTTCAGCAATTTGGACTGGAATCACGGAAACCACTTAGCACTCATGACACTTTGATGCGTTGTTTTTGATACCCAGCAAGGGGCTGGTCATGATACGGGAACCAACGAGTCCTGATTGTGAGACTACAAACTTGGTCTGATCAGCGCAACCGCATAAAATTCTTGTTTGGCAAGTTTTCTCAGGGGATACTTGCCTCCTGACTATCTTCTTCAAATTAAATGGCGTTGAACCGGGTTGTTCAAGGATCGGATACCATCACTTTATCTTTGGGAGCGGGAATTGAAGAAAAATGCTATCCAATGTTTAAACTTTGAGTCATTTGAGCTCGCTCGGATGCAGTTTGATATCAACAAGTGTACATCCCATTCATTGTACATATCTATCGTATCTTACACGTTTTTATGAGAGATTGCATGAAAGGCTCGACAGCCGAGACCTTGGTTTTCCATGGATCTCTTCAGCATCCAGCTACTGAGCGTAGTCTGTCTACCAAGCATAGTATGGCCTTTGTCCGTATACTGGTCGTGATGGCAGATGTACCCAGGGTCCCTTGCGCTGCTCCTTGGCAGTGCGCTCCTCATGTTGTCGTATCCTCGTCTTCTCCTCCTTGAGCAAAACCGTGAAGCCTAGAAAATCAGTCAGCATAAATGTGAGATTGTGTTTTCGGAATTGGGAAATGTACTTGTGCTCGGGTGTCTGATAATTCCCATTCGTCCTCGACCCTTGTAGTCGATCTTCTTTCCTCGCCACGGACCCCGGCCAACCCACGACTGAGCAATGTAGATGCTCGTGGGATCCTCAATCTCGAGGAACTTGCCCTTTTGCGTCTGGACCTTTAACGGCTTCGCAAGAGTCTCGCCGTTGACTTTGCCGAGTCCCATGCCACGCTGGGCAATGGCCAGGTCGCGGGCCTCCTCGAGGTAGTACCGGATCTCGGCCGCAAACTTCTTCTTGGACCACTTCATCTGCAGAATTGCCTCGTCGATGGGCTTGCCGGCGATCTGGCGTGCCAGCATGGTGAGCTTCTTGACGCTGGTGGCCATGAACTCGCTCTTGTGCAGGAGCTCCCGCTCGTTCATCCTGATTCGCTCCTCCTTGGTCATCCGGCCATTGTTCTGCACCATCTTGATCACCTTCTTGCGCTGCCAGCGGATACGGCTCCTCGGGTCGGGATCCACGATCAAGGCCATGTTCTCCTTCGTCTTTTGCTCGGCCTCGGCGCCTCCCGGAGCGGCTTCGGGACGGCCCTTGGAGGGAGCCTCAATCTCGTCCTGGAAGATGTTGTCCTCGACACCGCTGTACATGCTCTTCTCGAGAAACTGCTCACGGCTCTTGGGGTCGTCGAGCTGCGAGGTCACGGGGTCCGCGGTGGAGGAGGAGGCGGCGTCCTTGTTCTTGGGCTTACCCCATCCCTTGAAGATGTTGGCGGCCCATTTGTGTCGTCGTTGCACCGAAGGTCCGACGCCGACTGACCAGAGGGGGGTAGGTGTGCTTGATACAGGGTTCGCGGGCCTGGCTATATAGATTGAAGCTTGTGGTTAGCTGGATTGTCAAGGCCAATTGACCCCATTGAGGGCAAAACCAGTAAGATCCGTACCTGTAACCGCCAGCCGCCGGGTGGCTAGTCGGAGACTCATGGTCGCAGAAGCTGTGGATATCTGCAAACCAACAAGTCCCTTGGTCACTCTCACGGGTTTTGTCGAGTCGAGCGGCGTTTGATGGGCGAGATTCTTTTCCGCAAACGCCATTGGCCGGGGTTCAGCCGAAGACAAACGAAGAGGCATTCCCGGGTGCTCTGCTTAGGTGGGTTCACGTGACTCGGGTGCTTAGCGCGATTAACATCAGCCCATCCTCGGAATCAACTTGCAACCTCTCGACCACATCGAAACTCCCGCCAATCCGCCCCAAACTCTCCCCTCCGCCGCCCGAACAGCTTCGCAAATCCATCTCAGTCACAATGGCCGTCCGACCCATCACTGGTGTACGTTTTCCCCGACCCAATGGCTGGGCATCGCGCGCCCGCGGCGCTACCCGGGCCAGAGGAGCCGATTCGACCCCCCCCGGTTCCCGGTTGGTAGAGCTTTTCGTGGACTGACTCTGTCATAGATGCTCCGACGAAACCTCGTCCTGGACCTCAGCATCGCCCTCGGTACGTCGAATTACACTCGTCCCCCGGTCGAATTGGATCAATTGCGAATTGTTTTTGGGAAAGAGGAGGAACAATCGGAGGGCGCTGACAATTCGCGTGATGTGGTTGGTGGGGAGCAACTGGGCTGACTAGCATCGTCACAGGCACTGGCTTCGTCATGGCCAACTTCTTCTGGTAAGAACACCACGAACGACGGACGATATGATGCGGACGGGACTGACCACGACGACGCAGGTACGGCTTCCACGTGCCCCGAACCAACGCCCGCGACAACTTCTACATCAAGCGCGAGGAGGAGCGGGCCGCTCAGAAGGACAACTAGAGAAAAGCGAACTAGGGCATTTTCAGGGGCAATGAGCATGGTGTGCACTTAGAGCGAGGAGGAAACAACAGGCTCGTCAACGTTATCCGTTTGTCGTGTAGCTGGGGTAGAGAGCAGCAGCAGAATACCAAGGCTTCATCTGAAACGGTCGCCGGACAATCTGTAGTTATAGGCAAGGGCAACCGAGTCGACATGTGCTTTGACTTATTTGATGTGCCATTGACGTGTGAGGGGGGGGGATGTTTGTTACACTGCGTATTCATGCATCTCGACGAACCTCAGACCATTCAAGGTCCCTCCATCCTCGGCTCATCCAAAATCGTTCAGCGATCCATCTTTTAAGTCGCCAAAAGGTTTGCCTTGCTGAACGGCGGTGAATCCATAGCTTCCCATATGTACCAGGAGCTTGTCCGTAGAGTGGTAATGTTCGTTGAGGTCGTCTCGGCAATCCGTCATCCAGCAGGTTGCTCATGACTCAATGCTTGCGGTTGATGCAACAACTCGCATGATACCAAGACTTGTCCGTAGATAAACCAGTTCTCTCCGTCTGCTCGCTTATAATAGTTGCTGAAGCGTGCCGGGAACCATGGCTGTATCGCATTATCTTGAGGTTGCAAAGACGCGACGACGGAGACTGCCGGCTCTCACGACATACCACCAGACTCGCCAATGAAACACCGGCTGATGGGCTCGATTATAATAAATACCCATAAATGAAATTCACTACCGAGCTGAGTCGGGAGAATGCCAACTCGACGACCATTGGTAATGCTGCGGAGGCGTCTTGTCCTTGCCGTCCTTCTTGTCGTCATTTTTCTGACCGGTGCTGCCGGCCTCTGGATAATCTCTCCCCTCCCACGCTGTCGTCTCAACCATGAACGTTCCCTTTCGATCCTTGCATCTACCGCAATCAACAAGTCAGAAAAATCGTCATCACTCAAAAGCGCAAGTTCGACGCCACAACGTGTGAAGCCAGTCAGCAGCAGCGGGGGCAAAAGACTCACTTCCGGAATAATCGATCGACAGCATAGCACTGCACAGGGCTATCCCACTTGACGGGCTCCTTGATCTCACACTTGTACTGCAGCATCTCGAGGAGCTCGCATCCGGTGAGGTCGACGTTGCGCACGCCACTCTCCAGCTTGCGCTTGCGGCCCTTGAGATCGGTCTGGACACGCTCGGGCAGCTCAGAGGCGTGGAAGACCTGGCACGGGTAGCCCATCTTGAGACAATCACACAGGCCGGCAAACGGCGACTAGTCGAACAACGTCTCTCGCAAAGGCTCCTTTGGAATCCGTTGAGATGGAGGCAGTGACTGGGGCGCGGCTGTTGGGCGAGGTTGAAGAGGCGAGTCTGGAAGAGGTGAGTTGAAGAACTTGAAGGTTGGCGGGCCTGAGCTCTTTGCCCTTTTTGGTTATCCACGTCCAACCCCAACATATCATCAACACACTTCACAATCATTCATCTTGTATCACGCTCGAATATGTTTTCGTTTGCTCATTTTGTACATATATCGTTTCTCTCATTCAAACTATACAGGTCAGGAAGGCACCTCAGAGCCACGCATGTACATGAGTTCCTTCAAGAGCCTGCTCTATCATCACACCTAACTTCAGTACACAAAGGAGTGACAACTGACACACATTTGCGCTGATACTTTTGCTTCCAACATTCACTCTCACATTATGAACATAAGATACTAAGAGACCTGCTAGATACTCCATGGCCTGCGTTCAGCACTTGCCTTGGATCCAACACTACCAGGCACTCGACCTCGGACTCAACCTCAATCTCATGTTCAAAAACTCACACATATACAACCACTCGACGAAATCGCCGCCCGTCACTTCCAAGCCACAAAAGCTGCTGGTATCAGTATCTCTGGCCGCCATCTGCCACTCGTCTACAAGCTGATATCCACCCTAATCGGCCCTCCTTACTTCTACGTCGTCCTTGTCATCGATCTTGAGGGTCGCTTTGATGCTACTCGTCTCACCGGCCCCCCGTCTCACACACGACATGTTTACGTACAACGACCGGCTCGAGGTACCCAGGAACAACTGCGAGCTCTGGTAGCCGAAGCCGAGGGCGTCCTACTTTACGGCGACACAGCGCAGGCCAGCGCCGGGCGCGAGTGGTGGGGTACTGTCGTCGTGGGAGGACATGGCGCCGGAGACGTCACTGCGAGTTGGAAGGGCTGGCTACGGGTCGATCGCGAGAACGTCCGCGGCTTCTCACTTGGCATCAGCGCCGAGGAGGCCCTGGAGCAGAGGGGCCGGAGACAAGGTGTCGTCGAGGCGGCTGGCTGGGCGGCCACTTCACAGTGGGGAGGCTTCACTTTCAAAGAGGAGGGCGGTGATGCGAGCGCAAGCCAGGGCGCAGAGACGGCTGAGGGCGGCGGGGAGTGAATCTATACAATGTGCAATGACATACGAGTAAGCTGCCACAGTCTGCCTGCTTCTCCCCCAGGGCTGACGTAGGGGTTCATGCTGTACTGGGTAAGACGCCGAAGTTACCAGGTGGATAATGTAGAGGCAGGCTGTGAAGATAAGGACTCCATGTAGTGGAGACGGGGTGGTCAAACTGGGGAGCATGAAGGAGGGAGAACCCATCACCTCTCCAAGTTGCAGGTATATCCTTGGCCTTGCATACAACTTCACATCCCCGGGCGCCAACTTGTGCTACATTTTGAAGCACAATTGTGGATTTCGGTCTGCATGGATTAATTCAGGGATGAAATGCGGTATTATGAGGACAGTGTCAAGAGGCCAGTATGAGTAAGAAATCGAGTTGGCATGACAGGTATTGGCGTTTCCGAGTGAGGGACTTTTGGGACAGTGTTTGATGAGCTGTGCGGGCTTTTCTTAATATGACAACTACAGTGAAAAGGGGAAAAGGACAGCTAATATCGACACGCTGTTAAGTTGATCGACAATAGATGATACTGGACTTGTTGAATTTGCTTCGGAACTGGAAGCATTCAAGGGCAACAAGAGAGACAGGTGCTCGAGGCAAGCTGAAAACATTCGCAGTCATGAACCAATAATTGAAGTAAGAAGCTTCTGCTTTCTCGTTCTATCTTTTTGCTGTATTCTATCTGAATTGATGTGATGCTCATCAGGGTATAAGAGGGTGAGGTGGTGCATCATGAGAAGCTAGCTAAAAAGGCCCAAAAGAAAAAGCCTTTCAATCTAGAAACAACATAGCAATCTATCCCGGACGATGTGTCTATGCTTCTTCTGTTCAAAAGTGCGTGTCGCTGATGCCATCTGCAGAGTGTCGTGAATGCAGATGGTTGTGTACAGATAAAAAGAAGGCGTCATTTCGCATGGCTGTGACAAAGGAAAATTTCCAAACCCCTAAACGCAACTGTAAAGATGTCCCAAATTGTCGAATGATTGTGAAGAAGATACGCTCTGGAAAAGCAGCGGCTTAGATGGTGATGCCGTCCATGTCCACGGCGATCTCAGTGGCGCCAGTGGCCTCAGCCAGGAGGTTGGACTTGATGGAAGCGCCCATGGCCTTCTTCTTCTCCATCTCACGCTTGATACCGTGGTTCACGGCGTCAAGGACGTTGTCGACGGTGACGCGGGGCTTGTAGGCAGGCTCGGTACCCTCCTCGTAGACACCAGTCTTGACGAGGATGCTGTACCAGTCGTTGTCGGCCTTCTCGTTGACAGCGTTGGTACCGCGGATGTCACTCTCGGGAGTGTCACCGACAAAGTAGACAGTCTCGGGAGGAGCAACGAGGCCGTGCTCGGTGTTTCGCCACTGGCCCATCAGGCGGGAAGCAAACTCAAAGGTCGAAACCTGGGGCTTGCCAAAGGCGTGGGTGTGCAGGAGGCCGTTACCGCCAGTGAGGTCCTTGAAGGTGACCTCGAACATGCGGCGGAGAGCACCCATGCCGAGACGGACGTGCTCGTGGGCGGCGGACCAGACAACGTCGTTGTGGGAGAAGTAGAAGGGGGGACCCTCGTCAAAGGTCTCGCTGCGGGTTCCGAGACGGCCACCCTTGGACATGGCGAGATCAAGCATGATCTGGATATCGCCAGCCCAGTCGCGAGAGTCGGCAAAGACAAAGACGGCGTCAATGACAACATCAGTGAAATCACGCTCACGGGAGTTGGCATGCTCCTCAGGGGTGAGCTTGCGGAAGGGAGTGGTAGCAGAGTTGTGCTTGATGATGTCGCCAGGGGTGACAACGTCCTTGAAGCCGTAGCCCTCAGCAACGTGACGGCACTTCTCGCCCTCACCACCGACGACGAGGACAGTGCCGTACTTCTCAGCCATCTCCCGCATGGGGGTGTGGCCGCAGATGAACTGGCCGGGCTTGATATCGCACTTGAGCTGGCCAGAGAGGTCGCCGCATCGCTCCTCTTCGGTCTTGCCACCACCGTTGGTGAGGAAGATGTGAGGTCTGTCAAAAGTACATTAGTGTCTAATTCAACACCCAGGAAAAAAGTCACGATCCTGTTCATGTGGACCACCGACCCAGAAAAAATCCGGGGTTGGTGGATCGTGGCTTTGGCAGGGGCAGGGGAATAGCGACTTACACTTGAACACCGTACTCGTTCTCGCCGTTCAGGACCTTCATGGCCTGAATAGCCTCGGGGATAGCTCGTCCGCCACGAACGAGGACGCCATCAATGTCAAAGGCGAACACGAAGGAGTCGGCCACGGGCTTGTCGACAGGAGGGGAAAGGGGAGAGGCGGGAGTTCCGAGGCTCGCGATGCTGTCGCTGGAGCTGGAGGAGGCAAGCTCAGGAGAGCTGGGGATGGAATCGGGAGACTCGAGGGGAGAGTCGATCTCCTGCTTAGCAGAGAGGATCTCTTGAGCCGCGAGGGACTCCTTGAAGAACTGAGTCTGTTGTGAAGACATTTTGAGCGTTGTAAAGGTGATGTTGGTAAGTCCTGCTCAGGCACGCGCTCAGAAGAACGCAGAGAGATTGTAGTTTATGAGTGTAAACAGAGAGAGATCAAGTAATGACTCGTCGGTCGAGCTATTGTGTTTGATGGTGGATATGGAATCTGGGGATGTGATGGAGAATGATGGTTTCTACCGTCAAGAACGGTGGGAGAAATCTGGGGTTTTATAGATTTAGCTTCCACCACAAGAGTTGCTGATGGTACTCCTGAGGGTACATCAAGAAGGGGACAGATAATGTGGATATCCAATCCGTCATGTCATCTTGATTGCCTGCTTGGCCTCGGTTCTGTTGACATTGGATCTCGGTGATGGGCCGCGGATACGTACATGGCCTTGGTCGCTAAGGTTTTGGGCATCGTCTCCAATCCGAGTCATTGATGGAACCGTGGCGAGCCATATTTTTCTCCCCTTATCCACAATTCAGGTTCCACAGAAAAGATTGTAAAGGTAGTAAAACTCTCGGGGTATGAGGTAAGGGATGGGGAGATGTGGATAGTGCTCCATAGGTTCCAATGTGCGTGCGTCAATCCATGGTTGAAGCCTCTCCTTCCTTCCTTCCTTCCTTCCTTCCTCCCTCCCACTAGCCGTGATGACGGTGTCGTTTGCGGGCTGGGCGATTAAGGTACCTGCCACATGGTTATACCCCAGTAGTGGGTACTCGCCATCCACACGTTACATCACCAATGACTCTCGTATCAGCTACTTTGTCCTCCCAAAACCTTGCGTCCCTCTCGGCGGCACGGGCGGCCCATTATTTTCACAAACGCCGACGCCGCACTAGCCAACCTCACAAACGTACCCCCTGGACGTCATGGCTAGGAACCCAGGTGTTTGGGAAACGCCCGTTTTCGAACGGCTTACTGGGTGTAAATGGCGCAGCCTGACTGCGATACGATACGATACGATGATGCGAGCAGAGCTGGGCGAGAAGCAATGAGGCCGCACGGCAGGACAACAATGCACGGGTCAGAGGTTTGCGACATGATACGTACTCACAAACAGGGGGTTGCCGATGTGATCATCGCCCATGCTGACTCTCGGGTTCCTTGAATCGCATCTCGAGAGATACGGGAACGGTACGGTACCGTCTTGTAAGGGCAACGATATTCAAAGACTGGGTGTGGACCCTGAGGCTCTCGAGCTGACGAACTCTCCAATCAGTGCGGCTGTTTCAGCCATCTCTCAGTCTCGGACGCACAGCCCAGGGCAATCCTTCAGGGGACCTAGGGGACCTCGCGCAAGGGGGCTTGCAGGAGGCTTGCTGCCGTGGCTTTTCTCAAGGGACCTCTTTGTTTGCCGGGCGCGAACCACAGGGACGGACTGCAAGACGACATTCCGCGCTGGGCCAGATGCCCCTCTATGCGCCAACCGCGGAGACGAAAGCAAGGATTCGCTATCGCACAGTATCCACCGTCAAGCACCCAGTGACGACTACATACAGTATACGGTCACCGTCAGAGACGAGACGCCCTCCCCTCCATTGACGGTGGAAACGGCCAAGCCACGCATGCAGCTGCCGCTGGCCCCCCAACACGACCGACGGGAATCTTGAAATTGGTTCGTTGCTTTCTCCGTCTGCCTGCAAATCTCTTGTACCCTTTCCACCGCCATGCGCGCCCAGCTTCAGTCCGGAGCCCACAGTGACGTCAAACGGGCTCCGCCCAGGGACCCGCCGACCGGGCTCCGAGCCCTATCAGCCGCGCCGTGCGGCCCCACCATCGGGGGTCCTTGTGTGCTCCTAGCCCGGGAACATTCGGCTGGGGGGGTCATCAGCAAAGGGGACCAATATCCATGCTGCATGTCACTGCGAGACGTCGCCGTCCAGAGCCACCGGTGTTACAGAAGTGCACGCCGAAAACAAGACAGCATATTGAATGATCCTGAATGATAGACGCCCGCAAGCAGACACGGCATCGGAATGGCTGACGTTGTACAGCAGAAACGCGCGCAAACGGCTGCACAACGTGTAAGACGCCGTCAATCTTTGACCCTGAAAAGCATGTGAGAGTGAGACGCGGTGAATAGATAGCCATTCTCGCGTTTGCCCTTTATCGCGGCAGATCTCGAGCAGGGCAGGGTCCTCTAGGCAGGGTTCGTCGATCGAGGCAGCCTGGTCTTTTACAGTACCATGTTGCGGAGCTGCTAATTCAGTCGAACCGAGCTCAAGTCAGCTCTCATCATGTCATCTTCATCATTCCTCACATCTTTGGTGAGCTATTGACAGGCTAGATATGCAGTTGCTGTACTGCCTCTCTGCTCGTTTATTCACGGCAGGATAATTCTACATCTCATTGGATCCCGTCCCGGCCTCTCTCGGCGGCCTCTTGACAAACTGTTACTGTTTGAGTCGGTAACTAGGATCATGGATGAGGGGCGTGTCGTTCAACTCGGTTCTCGATCAACGTTTGCGCGCTGCTGGCGCGGGGCAGGGGAGCATTGATAAAGACGCTGTTCCCTGTACCATCCCTGTAGCTGATGGAGTACAGCGCCGAGGGGAAGAGAGAGAATTGCGGTGGAGGACGAGAGACGAGTGACGACGGATGCAGGTTGGATTATTACGGTGCTGCGCCGAGACGGTGAGGAGGGGCGAGCGTATGAGATGGTGTCTTTTTTGGTGGTTGTCTTCTTGGCCGCGCTTAAGGCGGGCCGTGATGTCACAGTTTTCTCCGTGAAGTTCTGGAATCTAGACCACTAGATTGGTGCAGCTTGCAGTAATAATAAATGGGGGGAGGATTTCATTATGAGAGAACCAACATTCAACAATAGTACCTATGGAGTGTGGACAGGAGGAGGTAGCTTCGGCCAGATGTACAGTACCTTGGCCTCGGTCTACTCCCGTCCAAAAGATACCTACCCGCCGCCACCCCTCTCCTGCTCATCAGTCAATGCCTCCTGCTTATCCTCAAGGAAGAAAGAAAATAAACCCTGCCCTGAATCAGACGGGATATTTCTCACGTTTTTCCTTGGCCTGCAATGGAGGGTAAGAGTGAAAAAAAAAAGGTGTGACGGGAAAGGCATGGTGACGGAGCTGGCGCAGAAGATCTGCCACACTCTGCCCTGAAATACCTCGTGCTGGCCCGTGTCAGATCTTTTGCGAATTCGAGAAAAAAACACAAAGAAAATCCTCCTGTCACTTTCTTTCCCGACCCAACGTGCCCCGGCGTTGCTACATCGGGAAGAAGATCGGCATCCGATTTTTGTTCTCCTTTGTTGCGTCCTTTTTTTCACATGGCAGGACAAGAGGCAAAACAGCCGGCGCCGTCAAAACCCAACACCCCCGTTGTTTGCGCACGGCAGTCGGTCAAGCCCGAATTGCCAATCGCCGTCTCTCCGGCTCCCCGTCTCCTCCGTATACACGGACTGTGTACGGAGTACTTTTGGTGTCCTTTGATCTTCTCCACGAGTCAAACCGTCGCTAAGAAATTAAGGAAAAAAGGATCTTCTCCACGGCAGTTGATGATGTCTGGGGGAAAGGGAAACTCTTGACGAAGAGACGGAAAACCCGCTGTTTCCTCCACTATTCTCCGCTTCTCCAGATCCTCCCCCAAACTTCTCCCCACGAGCTAAATCTTGTCTCCTTCACTGAAGGTTGACAAACAGTCCTCCGTCGACCAGCAGCTGCGCGCCCGTCACGTAGCCGCTCAGCTCCGGGCAGGCCAGGAAGACGGCGGGACCGGCCATGTCGGACGGGGAGCCTGTCCTTCCAAGGGGAATGCGGCCCTCCATGTACGCCCTCTTGTTGTCGTCTGCCAGGTCGGCGTCGTTGAGCTGCGTACGGATAGTACCCGGGAGGAGGGCGTTGCACCGGATGTTGTGCTCGCCCAGTGCGCATGCCGTGCTCTGCATCAGGCTCAGCACACCCGCCTTGGTGGGAGTGTAATGCGTCTGCTGTCCGCCGCCAACGAGAGCCGAGATGGATGATACTCCGATGATGCTTCCGCCCTTGGGTGTCTGGTTGAGGGCCATCTGCCGTGCTGCGGCCTGAGTCACGTAGAAAGCACCATCAAGGTTTGTCCGCACCGTCTTGTAGAGGAGATCCGACTCGAGGGTCAAAAAGTCGGCAAAAGTGCAGATACCAGCGTTGGAGACGCACACATCGAGGCGCTTGCTGGGGCCCGAGTGCTCAACCGCCATCTTGACCAGGTTGGTGGCCGTGTCCGGGTTGCGGACGTCGCCCTCTTGGTGAGCGAGGCGGCCGGCGGTGGGGGTCGCTTTCCGGATGGCATCGGCCTCGGCAATGAGCGAGTCGAGATGCTTCTGGTCCTTTTCGAGGCCGAGGTGGTTGACGACGACGTTGGCACCTTGACGGAGGAACTCGAGGCAGATGGCGCGGCCAATGCCTGTTGTGCCGCCCGTGATGATGGCGCTCTTGTTGACGAGGAGACCCGCTGGCATCAACATTGTGATTTGTGTATGTGGGTTTATGAATTATGTGTTGGTGTTTTGTAGGTTGTCGTGATGTTCAATGAGGCGGAATGATCACCAAAGCTCCGCAGCTCGTTGGAGATGTTGCTATCGGTCGAGGATAGGCCGAGTACAAGTCCAATTGTCGTGATAGAGGTTGTGAGATGTGGATGAAGATGTGTATGTCAACGTAAAAGATGTTTTCGCTTGCACAACAAAAGATTCAAGACAAGAAAGAGGCTCAAAGACGACTCCCGCTTCCAACACCTCCTCTTCCCCTCACTTCCGGGAAACGGCTCTTAAAAGCACCGAAGACGCCCAACCTCGGACCCTTCTCCTCCATCAGCATAATCCATCGTGACCAGCGAAATTTGGTGGGACAGGCAAAAGTCACGGCAGCCCCCAAAAAAAGCACAATCTTTAGCCAAAATTGGTCTCGGGCAGCTCCAGCAACCCGTCGACTTGCTGTCACTTGTCGTGTTGTCTGAAGGTCCCTCGGTGCACTACAGAGCGAGGGGCAAACGTGGCAAATCAGATTCTTCGAGATGATGGATCTCCCATCATCGGCTCGGTGTGTTTTATAGCGAGGTGCCGGCGGGGCGAATTGCGAAAGAAAGAGGGTCTTTTTGAGTCCGCGGAAACACGGGAAGGCTTCTTGGCAGCAAAAGGAAACCTTTCAGAGAAACATATGATCAAGGTGAAAAAACACACCAAAAACATGAGGCGATCGTGAGTTTTTGTCATACCCAAGATCGTGAACCCCCTTGACATGCCATCTCGCATCCCTTCACTCCCCCCTGCTGCAGCTCACACACACACGGCACCGAACGTACGGGTTCCCACAAAAACCCCTACCCACCGCTCGAGCCAACGGCTCGTGCTGGGGTTGGAAGAAGCATCGTGAAGTGTGGTCACGAGAAGTGGTAACAAAAACGGCCACCGTCTGTGAGTGGCGCAACTCTCCGACGGTCACCGTTTCTGACCCCCAGAAAAAAAAAATCTCACGATGCTCACAGTCGCGTCTATTTCTCTAAGAGGGGTGTGCACGCACAAAGCGCCATCCAAGGGTGGGCCACAACCATGATCGTGGGATTTTCTCGTTTCGTGGGTCTCTGCGTTTCTGATGCCTGGGGTATATTTCAACGACATGTCTTTGGTGGCGTTTGATGACTTGGTGATGATATCCAGCAATTAAAGTCAACTTATGACATAGACGCTCAACAACCGACACATCAATAAAGTAGGGTTTCTTAACTTAACTTTACATCTAATTATCCATCTCACTATAGTTAAACAGAGTCACATCTTTTTAACGTGTTTTTCAATTCACTCTATGGAAATGCTTCGTATCTTTGAAATCATCCCAAAACTATAAAATGCAATGCAAATCTCATGCCTAGATAATTCGAAACCCTTTTGCAGGTCAGGCAAAACACTGTACTTTGTGTATGCAACGGTTTATACCCAAGTCTTTCTTCCCCATCCGGACCCTCATCATGCGATCGCATTGAAACATTGACTGCGACCACAAATCCTGGGTGAGTACTAGAAGCGTATGCTGGATCCATACCAAGGTATAATATCCTCTAGCGATCCGGCCATTTAAGCAGCCGTTGAGGTGGTGAGGCCCTCGACCTTGGCCGCAAGCTGCTCAACAACACCGTTGGGCTTGGACTCTTCCTTGGTCTCTGACTTCTCCTCCTCCTTCTCGTTGGGAGGGCTGGGGGGAGCCAGGGTAGGGACAGCGGGCATCTTGAGTAGGTAGTCGCTGGGAATCAGCTTGGCTCGGGCAGCCGGGTTGAGGGTCAGACCGAAACCGGGCTTGTCCAGGTCCGCCGTTGTCAGGAAGCCCTTGGTGGGGATGGGCTCATCGATGAAGAGATCACCAAACACGGGCAGCACGCTCTTGCCATCAGGAGAGTTGGCAAGGTACTCCTGGAAGGGGGTGTTGGGCTGAGAGATCTGGAAGTGGTAGCTGTAAGGGCCACTGGCGTGAGGAACGATGGGAATGTCATAGGCGGCAGCATGAGCGGCGACCTTGAGGAGCTCAGTCAGACCACCGAGCCACATGACATCGGGCTGGATGATGTCCAGGTTGCGGTCCTCGATGAGCTTGCGGAAACCAAATCGCGAATACTCATGCTCACCAGTGGTGAACTTGACCTGAGGGTGAGCTCGCTTGATCAGAGCGAAGCCGTCAGTGTCATCGGGAGACAGGCACTCCTCCCACCAGTTGATGTTGAGATCCAGAGTCGCCTTGACGATCTCGATTGTGTAAGAGACGTTGAGACTCATGTAGCAGTCGACCATGATGGGGAAGTCGGGGCCGACGGCCTCACGGTGCTTGCGGAGGAACTCGACGTTCTTGCGCAGACCCTCGTGACCATCATCGGGGCAGAAGGGCAGGGGGACCTTGGCTCCCCAGAATCCCATGGCCTTGGCGGCTGTGGGCTCGGGGCCGGTGCAGTAGAAGTCGAGGCGCTCCTTTGTAGCTCCACCAATGAGACGGTAGACGGGCTCGTTGCGCACCTTGCCCAGAAGATCCCAGAGGGCAAGGTCGATGACGGAAATGACGGCGATTGGCAGACCCTTGCGGCCATAGAACATGGATGCACGGTACATCTGCTCGAAGAGAAGGTTGGTGTTGCGGGGGTCGGCACCGATGAGGAAACGCTCGAAGTGTTGGTGGACGAGCCAGCAAGCAGGGGGACCTGAGAATAACCTGTCAGTCGCTTGTTGTTCATAGAGCCTTCATTGGATGGTTCGAAGTCCATAGTCAGGCTGAATGTCGAGAATCGAACTCACCTCCAAAGCCAGTAGCAAAGCCAACAGTGCCATCCGTAGCCTCAATCTCAACCAGGAACGAGCCAAGCACGTTGATGCCCCAGCTGGTTCGAGACTTCTTGTACTGCTCCCATCTCGAGCAAGGTGTTGAGATATCGCTGTCAATGAGCCAGTGACCGCCCTTGACGTTGTGATAGTCACCACCTAGCTCGCGAGTTAGCAATTGTCATACTAAACCATCTAGGCGGTCATGGACGCGCTCAGACGGCTTGAGGAATTACCCCTCTTCTCAATTGAGAGTCGGGCAACGCGGGAGAGGGGTTCTTACCTGATCCAACACCACCAATGATGAATGACCTTATGGCCTTGATCTTGGGGAAATCTCTAGCAGTAGCCATCTTGTTGTCGTTTTCGTTCAATGTCACTATCAAGAGAAGGGCGATGGAAAAGAGTTGATTGCGACGAGTCGAGGATGAGGAGGAAGAAAGAAAGAAGAGAGTGAGAATGAGTTGGGGAGAAGATGACCACAACACGCTGGGGCTTGGCTGCTTTACAAAGGAAGCGCCGGTGGCACTGCAGGTGGGTTAAAGATAATTCCAGCCGATCACGTATCATTCAATTGTAGCCGAGTCGCGCGCCTCTAGGCAGCTCACGATGGATTACCGGTCTTGTGATGCCTGCTGAAGCGGGCAGGAGCCGGCAGAGGCGCCTCCGGATAAGTGGTGGGGGTTTGAATTCCGCCGGATTACCGACATGGCGATGCAATCGTCGGGCAGAGATGCACCGAGCGATGGCGTTGTGAATGGATCCATCTCCAACTGTGTGGACAGCTCCACCTTTTCTCGGTGGTCGTCGGGGTTTTGAGACTTTTTGGTCGGCTAGTGGTCCAAGAAAAAAATGGCACACTTCGCAAGTACCTACTCTGCCTTTTAATCCGCTGAATCATAGCATAAAAGGCTTATGATTATAAATCTAAGAATTTATGTAGAGTTTAGAATATTATTTATTTATTTTATATTTTTACTTATTTATTCTGATCTAACTTATGTCTATATAGCCCGGCAAAGGTCTCATTGCCTACCTGCAGTATGCCATTTATTTCTTGGACTGGGTGGTCGGGTAGCTTAGTGGCGGCTCATGGGGCCCAATTTTCTCCTTGTTTTGCAGGGGACTGGTCGAGAACTTCGTTGTGCGCCGGCTGTGTACGCGGGATCCATGGATGATGGGTTATGTGCAGTGCAGTGCGCATGCGACGTTTTGTGCCTCGTGGGGGTTTCTGTTTGCGGCAGTTGATGAAGAAATCAGTGAGGTGTGCATCTGCTGTCCAAGGTTGTCAAAACGCTGTTGAACCCGAGATCGTTTTTTTGGCGGCTCGGCTTTTTCTGGTGGCGGGTTTGTGGAAGATTGCGGGGTGGACGGGGGTTATGAAGAACGGGGGCTGAGATTTTGGGGGAAGTGGAGGGTGAAGATCCGGGAAAGGTCATGGGCTGTGGACGGCCAAAAAGTCATATAATCTGGTGGTGTCTCCTTTCATGATATCCCAGGATGAATCTTTTGATAAACAACATGTTCCAGACACTTTACCAGCTCACAAAACAGTGACCGCTTCTTCTTGGTAAACAAACCCTTTCGCACGAGAGCATCATGGGAGGAGATGACCCCTTGCCGGTCCGGGGCAAGTGACTTGCCATGCCGGCCCACTTGCCGAGCCATCCACCAATCATTGTACAACATAGTGCTCCCCGCTAAAGGAAAGAGCTTGGTCGCGCCAGGTGAAGGGAAGGTTTGGGCAGGTACGAACGAGGGTGCTCGGTTCTTTCCTCTCCGCATCCGCCATCCCATCACCAGAGATCGAATTCAGTTCACAAGCCTCCGAGGAAGAGCGCTATGGCCCTCCCCCTTCACCCCCCCTTGTTCCCCCTGAAGCCGTGCTATTCTGCTGGCTGAATCTCAATAGCTTCAAGATTGCAAAAAAAGGATTACAGAAAATCTCTTCTTCTCCCGTCGCTCAATTTTATTTGCGGCTCCCGGTCAACGGAAGTACACCGAAGAGCTGGAGCTCTGACAGCTCGCCCTTAGCCCGTAGCCCACCTCGGCCCACCTCTGACCAGGCCCGGTCTGAGGCGCCACTCACTCCCCGTCCGTCCGAGGCCCAAAGCCAGCAAAAAGCGACAAAGGAGAAACAAGAGACAGGTGACTTTGACAAAGGAGAATGAGCAGCTCATAAGTTTTATCCTACCAAAAGAGACGTGTCGGCAATCCGCGGTATTGCCTAAATACCTACCTGGGCTACCAGGTTGTGCAGCCGCCTCGGTATCCATATGGCAAAGTTAGGTACCTGACCTTGGCCTGGGGTACGGTGCATGCTTCGAGTCTTTCTCCTCTTACTTCTCCATCCTCCCCTTGGGCCCTCGGGAGATCTTTCTCCTTCTCGCGCGAACCATTGTCCCGGATCGCGAGCTTCCTCTGCAGAGACTCCAAACTCCCTGCACCGCATTTTTGCCCGTTCCCGCGTATCCAGCCCTTTGTCGCATACCACTCGCACCGCTCCGCTCACTCACACGACCGTTGCTGAGCTCGCACTTTCATCGCACCGACACGCGAGGTCTCTGACAAGGGCATCCCGATTCTTCTCTCACCCTCGAGGCCATGCACAACGGGGTGGGCAAGAACTCGGGCGATGTCTCGGTAGAGAATCGCCCGCCCACGACCGAGATCGATAGCGACGAGGCCAACCAGCTTCTCAGCGATGACGATGATCATGGCGACCAGGAGACCCTATGTCGCAACGGGAAAAGGAAACGGCCCATCTCGGTCTCGTAAGTCGCGACGCTGGCTGCTGCTGCTGGCTCTCATGCCCAGTCCCAGTCATGCTCCCCTCTTTTTTTGTTTGTCTGTCTGTTCTGTACACTCAAGTCATTGTCGCGATCGTGGATTCCCTACCTTGCTCGGGCTTCATTCTTGGGTCAGAGTATCACCCATTTGAATTGTTGGATCCAGTTTTAAGATCTGCGTCGGATCTTATCTACACTTTTATACTATTTCTATCCTAAACACCATGTCACCGCACACGGCTGCATCTTCACCCCAATCTTCACCCTCGCCCATAGATCCACCCATCACCGAGCCCACCCCCAACCCCAACCCCAATACTGCGACCTTCTTCCAGCCTTCCTTGCCTTTCGAGATAACGAACACCGGCAATGCTCAAGCTAACTCTGTCATCCCCAGGTGTGAGCTGTGCAAGCAAAGAAAGGTATGTTCTGATACCTGTCCCAGTTCTCCGCTGGGTCTTGGCGGTACTCTCAACAACATATACTGAATGCACTTCGTCTTTACAGGTCAAATGTGATCGTGGTCAACCCTCTTGTGGTTGGTGTAGCCGAAATGGCGCCGTCTGCGAGTACAAGGAGCGCAAGAAGCCTGGCTTGAGAGCTGGCTACGGTCGCGAACTCGAACAGCGTCTCGACAAGCTCGAAGAGATCTTGCGCTCTCATGCCGAAATCCTTCAAGCCACTCTGGCAGCCAACACCAATCCTGCCCTTGCTGCCAGCGTCCGACATAGCAACCCAAGTCTTCCCAGCGATCAAGGAACGCCACACGATGGTCCTCACGTCTTTCGACCCTCCGAACCCGTCCGTACTCCTCAGACCGACTCTGCTTTGTTTGGGCAGAAAGCTCCCAGCTCTGGTTTTGCGCCAAGCACCCAAAGCGTCGACTTTGGCGTTGCCCGTACTCCTGGTGTGAGCGATGGCTTTCAGAATGGGAATCATGTGCAGCTGCCTCCCATGACGGCGGCTTCTCAGATCTCGCCCATGCAGCCCAGTGCAGCTGCGCAAGACTACTACAACTCTGTACAACCCAACATTCATTCTCCCACAGCAGCAATGTCGGCAGCCCCTGGAACTACCACCCCCGACCGGGATATGCCACCATACGACCTTCTCTACGCCCTTGTCGACCTCTACTTTAAGCACATCAACACCTGGTGCCCTATCCTTCACCGCAAAACAACCCTAGATACCCTATTCGGTCCGTCTACACTCGACGAGACTGATCGAATCCTCCTCCACGCGATTGTGGCAACGGCAATGCGCTACTCGACAGATGCGAGATTGACCGACGAACGACGGGAGCACTACCACAGGGTTTCCAAAGAACGAGTCCTCCTTTACGGCATGGGAAACTCATCAGTCAAGTCCCTGCAAGCTCTTGTCATTCTCGCCCTCGATCTCGTCGGTGGCGGCAATGGGCCTCCGGGATGGAACATCATGGCGCTCATCACCCGCTCCGTGGTACAACTTGGCCTGGCTGTAGAAATCACCTCGTCGACAGTGTCCCCCCATTACCTCTCAATTTATACCTTGCGTGCCATGACTCTTTCGGAGCCTAAAGACTTTATTGAAGAAGAGGCGCGACGTCGACTCTTCTGGATGATCTACCTGCTCGACCGATACGCAACGATCGCAACAGCCTTCGAGTTTGCCCTCGACGACCGGGAAATAGACAGGACGTTGCCCTGCCGCGACGATCTGTGGATCAAGAATCAAAAGGTGGACACCAGGTGGTTCCGCACTGATGTGAACCACTCGGGCTCCCCAGACCACGACATCGACCAGCCCGAGAATCTTGGCGCTTTTGCGTACTACATCGAGATTCTTGGCATTCTTTCCAAGATACACAAGTTCTTGAAGCAACCAGTTGATATCAGTGCCTTGAGCGACGTGGAGCAATGGCAGATGCGGTACAAGGAGTTGGACAACATGCTGACGTCGTGGAAGTTTGGCCTCCCCGGCGAGTTTGGCAACATGGCCAAGCTTTTCCACCCGGGCAGTAAGAACATCAATTGTGCCTGGGTCATGCTTCACGCCACGTACCACACAGCTGTCATCCGCCTTCATTCGTCTGCTGCCTACCCGACGACAAGGTCCCCCATCTTCACTCCGTCTTATAGTGCATCTCAACGGTGCCACAGCGCCGTGGAGAATGTGGCTGCGCTGGGAGAATTCGTAGTGAATAACGGGATGTTGGCCAAGCTGGGTCCCCCCTTTGCATTTACTCTTTGGGTGTCAGCACGACTACTCCTTGTTCATGGCTCAACAGTTGAGCACAAGTTGTCACCTCAGATTTCCTTCTTTGTCGACAGCCTCCGCGATATGGGTCGGTTCTGGCCTGTTGCCGCTCGATACTGCCAACTACTACAAAGAGTCCTGGATGAGCACCGCGATAGTGAGCGACAGGGCGACGGCATAACCCCTAGCTCTGTCAAGATACTGTCTGACATGCGACGCACGGCATTCGATCTGGACTTCCTCATCTCTCGGCAGCCGAACCAAGGTGGATCAGCGCTGAGTCGATTGCCCAGTGTCACACCAGCGAGGACGCCAGCACCAAACGA